TGACGCCGAAAAGGAACTCGAGGACTCAAGTAGAGAAGCAAACCCTAGCGACCTTAGGGAAATTGCCATTGAGGAAACAGTCATGCGAGAAGGTCTTCTGGTCGACCCAGCCGAAGAAACCTCGGAGGCTCAAAACAGCAACGTCGAAGCAGCTGAAGCTCGCGAGCCGGAACTTGTTGAAAATGAGGATCTATTAATTGACTCGGCTGAGGAAACTTCGGATCTCGATAAACCAAATCATGAGTCATCAGAGTCTCAAGAAAGCTCATCGGATGAGTCTTTTACTTCGAATGAAACAGAAAACAACGACAAGACATTAATGTCAGATATCGAGACAATTCTTCCAGATGAAGAACCACAAAAAGAAATCTTAGCAATGCATCTTGCCATTCGTAACAAGGTCAATGACAGCTACGTAGTAAGACCGGAAAAGCTGACCAAAGATGATAAATGGGTCGTTGAATACGCGTTATCTGAAATTCCCGATCACGAAAGGGCTATGAACCTTTATAAAGCAACTCAATTGAGAAGAAAGACAGCTTTGAGAAGATCAGATGAGCCCGACACCAAATGGGCAGAGGAAAGAAATAACAAATTTATCGCGCATTTGAAGTACTTGGCACAAAGTGGTCGGGCGTGGAGGCAGAGAATTACGGAGAAGGAGGCGAATGAACCAATCAAGACGTTGGATTATAGAGAGGAGCCAAAGGAGGTAGGTGTTTACGAGGGGTATGAGGAGATGAAGAGGGCGGCTGAGGAGAACAATGAAAAGATGAGATCAGTAGAAGAGACTAGCGAGGAAAATTTGAAATAGAGAATTGTGTGAGTGTATTTAGAGCATTGTAAAATTATTGCGTGTCCCATGCTCTAATGATGGGTGGGTTCTGGCATGGACCCGACGTCAAAGAAAATAGGAGTTATATACAAAATGTACCATTATGATCGTCACTCAAATTCAAGAATCAAAAGTTTTGTTTCTCAAATTGTCTCCGCCCCTTGATGTTCTCATTGCCTTCCAACTTCACCAATTGTGACTTCGTACGAGAGCTTGGTTCTATACTCTTTTACAACCCCAGATGGCGAATGGTTGCCATGTCCCATCAATTTCTGTCAATTCCTTGCGAAGTCGCTGAGGCAATGTAGCAAGTCTTTCCGATGAAATAGATATAGGTGGCAATACTAGAGGGGAATTATAAGCAAGGCATCTCCCGCTTTCATCCCCATGATATACAAAAGACTCACCCTTCGCAGTTTTCACCAATCCCTGACAAGTCAACCCAAAACTCCCAATACTGATATCCCTAATCCTCTCACTCTCCGCTTTACCCCAATAGGAATCGTATAGGCCTCACACTGCACATCTTCTACTCCCATCTCGCGATACCATCTATCAATATTATACAAAAATTCTAGTTCCTGTCTTCCAATGACAATCGTAAATACATCGATCGAAACATGTCTGTTGGAATTCTTGCACAATCGGTCCATTGGACGGCTAGGACGGAAACATCATTTTGGATTGCTAGATATATCTACTTGGTTTGACGAGCGCGATGAGTCGCGAAATAACAGCACGTGGAGAATGTATTCCTGTCCCTGGAAGAGTAAAGTGGGAATGTACCAGATCGAAAGTGGAGGTGAGGTTGGAGGGACACTCGGAAGTCATGGGGGGCTGCGAGAAGAAGGCGAAGTGTGTGGGGGGTGGGAGAGGGGTAGTAGGATTGCATGATGTCGGTTCCGGTGTATTATTGGTGTTGGGTTAGGGAGGTGGCGGAGATGTCTTGGTGAAAGATACCTGGGGGGTGTTAGGTTTTGGTATGCTTTGTTTGGAGTGGTTGTGGGAATTAGGAGAGGGAATTTACCATTTGCGGTAGCTTGATCGAGACTCTTGAGTCTGGGCCTGGAGAGGTCGATGGGGGCTCTGAGTAGGTTTTTGATGTGGTATTTGACGATTTCGTGTTGGAGGCCTAGGCGTACCGTCTCGCTTTTGCTGGTTTAGAAAATGACGTTGGCGTCGTTGGTCGAGGTTAGGGCGGGCATGATGTGGATTTAATGGGGGATAGTGATGGGTGATGGGTGATGAAGTGATGAAGTGATGAGATTGGAAATGCGACTTGTGGATTGATACAGGAGTTATCAGTAAAGAAGATGTAGGAACATTCCTCTCAAGTAAATCCCAAAGTCTGTCATTTGACCAACGTCCAACAGTTGGATCACCTCAACTCTACTTACTCGATGACTTTCTGGATACTTTACGGTGACCTATTATTTGTATCCCAGAGGTAAAGTAAGCACATTGTTCGTAAACGCCAAACAAACATAAGATGACTCTATTCACAGCTTGTAAGTATCTCATTATGCAAGATCGTTGATAGATTATCAGATTTTGAATATCGAGCAGCGACGTATGTGTCGATACCAACACAATTTTTTTCATGACCGCCGATTCTCGGCTTTCAACAACATAAGGGGAGTTGGGGAATCATTGGAGATCTGGTAATACGTGGTAGTTTCATGAGCTGGCTTGTTTGTTTCCTCGTTTACTAGATTTGGAGAGTCAGAGAATTGAAAATGTCGCTATTTGCAAGTAGAGACTTTTATCAGGAGATTTGAATTGAAGAGAAGCTGATTTTCTAGGATTCTTCAATCATCTTTGAAAAATTAATATCGCCGGTATGTGCTACTGTTAAAGTAACTATCCCGATTTCATCGAGTAGCTACTGATTCTAAACCTTACCATGAGAGTTCCTGGCTCAACGCTAGGGTTCTCATCTCCCAAAGCCCTGAGCAAGTGCCAATACAAACCATGACTTCAGCATCATACTGACAGTGTATCTATATAACCGAACAGCTCCGTCGCAGACCCAAGAAAGGTTGAGTGAAAGAGCAGAACCTCCACGTGATTCTCCAACCGAGGATTCAATCTGCGTCAAACGCAAGCTCTTGAAGATATGCATCTGAGTATTTGCCTATCTCAGAATGATTGGATATCTTTCTGTCTTTCAATCCCGAGAAGATATTTGATATGCGACACGTGATATGAATCACTTCACATGAGCTCTCTCGATCACATAACACGTCAACGAAATGATTAGGATTCATTGTCAGTTCCAATTGAAAACCTAAAGTATGTTATTAGAAAAAATATGCCATACTAAGATAAAATCATCTACGGCCCATGAATAGAAACAAATGAGCGGAAGATATCTCAAAAGCAGCTATGATCAAAAGTGTATATATACTCAAATCTGAGCACATCACTATCGAAATACTAGCGCCAATGGTTTAGTGGTAAAATCCAAGCTTCCCACATCAAGATGTACATCTTCACGAGTTTGCTTGGGCCCGGGGTTCGATTCCCCGTTGGCGCAATGGACCTTTTCAAATTATCTTCATTTTGTTTTTTTATATCCTCCATCTTCTTCTGTTTGATATCGAGGGTTTGTTCTCGTTGCTGTCAGAGTCGAGGTGATGTGTTCGGTCGGTGTGGCGTGTTGAGATGGTGGGGTAATTGTGGCGGAGATGTGGAGGTGAATTTGGTTGAACCCCACATGCCTCCTTTGTATCGAGCTGTGAAGTAATCGAAGAGGTGCTAAGATTTTTGACCTTGATGAAGGCTGTTTTTTTGAAGCTGGCTTCGGCTTTCACTTGCTTTTATCGTTTTGAAGGCTTGATGCTCAACAAACGATCATTGATTGCGGAAGCTGAGAATCATACCCAATTGAACTATGGGCGCTTGCTATCGTAAAGGCTAGGAGTGAAGAATATTATTTGTACAGCTCTGAGCAAAGTGACAAATGTTCGCAGATTATAAAACACATTGTGTCTTGTACGACGTTGGCTGTTTTGAGGTGAACAGTTGACGATGACCATGGGAGGTTTTGACTACAACTTTACTCTCTTTAGAGAGAGCTTTCTAAATCCATTTAACATTGGCATCTTTGCTGTTCAAATTTTCAGCGAAACCTTGTGACACCGATACATTTTAGGCCTTGATTCTGATTTTTCAAAATGTTCATCTTGCATCCAATAAACCGGATATGAGACTCATTGTCCAGACGACATTTAGATAGGCAGCTGCGTACATAGTAACAGTCAGTGAAGCACATTTTGAAAACTTTCTAATTGCGCCTAGCACTGATCTCTCCTCCCACAGCCGAAGGGACTCATCCCCCTAAAGTTCAAACCTCCCAAAGGAAGACATAATTCAGACGAGGAATCTCTATCGCTAAGTCGAAAACAAAGTTGAACAGTCAAGAAAAGCACCAACGACTTCCATTCCCAACAGACAATTACTGTGAGACTTGAACTCACAAGCAACTAGATTTAGCTATCCATTCACTACCAAGTAGCATTGACGCAGTGATGCAAAACCATGTATACCTAACCAAATCTTAGCCTTCTTGGAACTCCAATCGTTGAAACTGGCATCATTTGTAAGTCCACAGTGGTCTTTTTTAACTGACAATTCCTACCCATCTAATAGAAGCTCCCTTACGATCAATTGTCATAAACATCAGAACTTCGCTTAGTGTCAAACCTTACTACAGACGCCAAATAAAACAAGTTTATTGGATGGAAATTGTCAATAGGACACTGTCGTGGCTGGTAGAAATGATTCAAGCATGAGATGAAGATAATCGCTTCAAAAATATTTAAAAAAAAACATTTGAGAACCTGTAGGGCACACAACTTTCTATCTACAACAGTTCAAAGCTCGATGAAGGAAGTAATACTAAAATAGGTCCTAGCACTTGCAGAGCCTTAGCCAAATATGCTGTTTGTGGTTACGTATATTTGGTCTGGAGTTAGGTTGCATCGGTCAGCAGCACCACAATTATCACATAATGAATATTGGTGGAAGGTCATAGTGGTCATTTTATTGCTCCATCTAACTAAAAGTGTGCTACCATCAAACCCGAAAGCTTGCATGCCAAAAGGAAATGGAAATGAGTGAATTTGTATACAGTAAAGAGTGTTCCTATGTGCAATCAGTGGAATTATAGGCAGAGGGTAAGGCTTGAGAAGAAGCTCCTGCACAAAGAAATCAGCAATGTTTTTGGACGTTTGCTTGAGGTTCTTGAAGCAAGTTTCAAATCCGGATCATCTTGGATACTTGAATTATGCATTGTAAACATAGAGGTGATTACTGCTTCAAGTAATCGAAGTATTGCGAGGTTTTCCGAAGGTATGCCTGTCGCATAGAGATTTCTGTGATAAAAAATCTACTCATCATTAGTCTTTAGGTATGTAAAAGACGGATTTGTATCTTACCAGATATAACCCTAATACAAGTGGAGTGTAGGCCATTATTAGCATATCACATAGCCTTTGTGCGAGAGAACAAACTGCTGTAGACTGCATCCACAACAGGAGTAGCGCTAATCATTCGCCCACCGAAATATCTTCCATTCAGACCCTTGATGGCGTTCTCTCCTCCTTGTACTCGATCGAATTTGAGATAAATATCTCCTTGGGAGTTTGGATCTAAAGCAATGTGAACAACGTGGCCATATTTTTCTTCCGCTTCTGCGCGGACATCATCCTCAAGTTCCTTTTCCCAGTTCTCACCGTCCTCTCTGTAAAATTGGTTAGCAATAAATCGTCAGAAGGGAATGCATTACTAACTCTGTGGGATCGAACATGTTCTTGAGTACAACACAACGGCTAGCCATGTTGACATTGACTGGTAAGGCTTTGGTTTCTGTTTTAGGTTTTGATACTTCTCTTCTTTCGTGATTTGCCGCAACCGTGGTATCATCTGTTCTGGCGAGTTTTCTCATCAATGCATCTCGACTATAATTGTTGAAGTTCACGCCGCCAACGTCAGTGTCGTCCAAAGCACTAGCACCACCCGCACCTTTATCATTATCTCGACCACCAGCACGATCGAAATTGCTGCCGCCAGCAGCGGTAGGACCACGCCCACCAGCGCCAGAAAATGCGGAACCCTGGAATTGTTGTTGGTGGCTTTGGCCATGGAATCTTTGCAGAAGACTGGCGGTAGATTCAGGAGTGAACTTATCGTTTCCAAGACCGACACGAATTGGTCTGCCAGCAAGATCAAACCCATTCATCTTCTCCAACGCTTCTCTAGCTTGATTTGGATCACGGAATCTATTGTACTGGTTAGCATAGGTGCAGGAATTTTAGCGGGAAAAGCTTACTGGACAAATCCATAACCTCGACTACGTCCCTGCTCTTCTTTTTGCAATTGAACAAATTCGAGCTCACCGAATGGCTCAAATACATTCTGTAAATCGCTTTCAGTGATGCTGAAATGTATATTACCCACATATAGTCGATGGAATGGAATTTGATTAGGGTTACTAGTGGTAGCTTCGGGATTGCGGACTTGTCGATTTTTCTCAGCCTCGGTGAGTTGTGCAATAATTGGGATTCCTAGGAGTCTCTGTCCAGTGAGTTGTATAGCAGCAGGAACTGATTCTTCGTTTTTAAACTCAACGTAGCCCACACTGTGCAAAGTTAGTAAGTAAGCCATGGAAGAATTATAAAGAAAACACATACCCTTTAGATCTACCACTGACTCTGTCCTTGACAATCTGAGCCTCCTTAACGGGGCCAACCTTTTCGAAGAATGCGATGAGTTCTTTGGTTCTGAGACGAGCTGCTAGTTGTTGCACAAAAACTGTGCGCCTATCCCGCTCATCTTCAGTCAAGGGGGGTGTTCCTTCTCGTTTCGGACTTCTCGGCCGGCGTTCTTCTCGAGGCTTGTCTGCATCATCGCGGTCACGACGGTCACCTCGAGGACGGTAATATCTATCGGGACTTCTGGTACGTGAGCGTTGACGTCCACCACCCCTACCTCCTCTATAATAATCTCCATCCCTACGGCCGTTTTCTTCCGGGGTATCTCTGCGGCGACGAGGTTGTCGACGACTGTCATCTCGGCTTCTACTCCTGCGTCTACCCTTTGCGCTTCCATGCTCACTTGTTGGAGTTGCGGTGCCATCTTTCTCGATTCTATCTCTGCTGCGAGCGCGGCGCTTTCTATCTCTGTCGCGATCTCTGCTATCATCACGGAGTCTATCACGGTCGCGTCTCTCACTGCGCTCACCCTTGTGGCGGTCATCGGATTCTTTAGTCTTAGCAGATCCGTTTTGCTCAACAGGAGTAGCAGCTGCAGTTGAATCCAAGAGGGCTTCGACATCTAAGGCGGACATGGTGAGGGTAGTTACTCGCCTGAGAATGGACAAATTACAAATTTGATGATCTTCTTGTTCCAAATGATTGCTTGGCAAATTAGACAGACAAAATACGATGTCCAGTGGTTTTTGAAGTCGTCAAAGATTGATGAATATGGAATTAGTGAAAGACTTTTAAAAGTTAGAATTGTTGTCTTGTACAGAAAGTGGCTGGTGGGAAAAACATGAATTAGTCAGTCTAGTGTTTCTTCTTAGTTTGATCACTGCACCTGCACCACGTGTTTTGAATGACTGAAAAATTCTGGCCGCGTCGCAAAGTTTTTGGTCCATGATCAATGGTTTAAGGTGAATTTAGTAAAATATTTGTAAATATTGGGTAGTAAATATGATATAAAGGTAATGAATTATGATTTGTCGAAAGTAAAAAGTCTATATTAGGATATTAAAAAGGTTACGAAACTATTAATTCTTCTAGGTAGACCAGCCTGCTCTCCATTTCCAGCTTGATTCATGAACTCCGAGACCAGAATGTCTTGATAGTTCTATATCGTCAAGTCATTCCAAAAACACGCCATTGTTTCCTAGGTTGGCTGCATCATTTATAAATTCGTTATCCATCTCCACTTCATACAGTTTTTGGCGCAGGCGCGAGTTGAGTTCCAAAAATACAGTCCCAGAATCTACTAGTAACTCCAAATCCGTTTTCGTAATCCATGAAGTGATGTTGAAGATGGTACTTCTTCAATTGTCTCCAGTACGAAGGCAGTGTGCGGTGGTGAAGGAAGTAATGTGTCAAATCATAACAGATGTATCCGAAAATTCCTCCGCAGAACACTGCTGTAGCCACATACCAATCCCAGTAGAACACAGCATGTGCAAGCTTCCAGAAAGGAGTGGCTAAAACAATGAAGAGGGTAGGAGGCATGACCAATCGGTACTTATCCATTGGTAAATAGTGGTGGATGCCGTGAAGTAAGAAATGAAGCGTGAGTGCTACTCGGTTATCCGGGAGCCATCTAGAGATACATGTTAGCTTGACATTCGCTGTCGAGTTGAAAGGAGAAGTGTATAGAAATATACATACTTATCGAGGTGGAAGAGGAATCGATGCATAATGTATTCGACCAGAGTCCAAAGGAAGAGACCCAAGAACCAGTACGCTGCTTCTCCAGCGATGTTATCGAATCCTTTGCTCGCGAGGTATGTACCGTAGATGACGGGTGGAACCCAAGCGATAGGCACAACCCACCAAGCTGTCTTTGATAGAGGTTCAAGAAAATTTCCGAAAAGAGGTGCAGACTCTCCTCCCTTATAATGACGAGGTCGATGGACTTGCTCCAAGTAGAACTCTTTGCTAAACCCGCCACGCCAGATTTGCATCAACAATGGCCTGTTTAGGTCAAGGAACTTGTGTGTCTTATAATCGTTCACAACATCTGTCTCCTTATTCAAATCTTCCTCCGTGGACATTCCAGTATTGGCATAAATGGGCAGAGAGTTTAAAGATCCATTCTCTTTCAACTCCTTCGAGCCTTCTTTTGTAGGTGGAGGTGGAACAAGGGAATCTGGTTTTGTACTCTTGGTAGCGGTATCGATAATCTTATTTGTAGCAACAAATCCGATAAAAGAATCTTCAAGAACATCGTAAGCAGCTTCGGAATGGGTGTGCGAGAGCTCGTCCTTTAAGATTTCCGTGACGTCTTGACCGGCGTATTCTAGTACCAATTCACCTCCGCCCGGATGGCTGTCAACGAAATCTGTAACATCAAAGACCCTTGTGCCCATAGTAACATAACAGCTATCTGCAGAGTTATGAGAGGCGACTTCCGCCTGAGTAAGAGTTGGGAGAGTTCGAGAAGGAGACATGGTCGCGATTATATCGAATGGTATCGACTTTCGAATTAAAGATTGACAAGAATCGCCGAAATAAAGAAGGGATGAATGGATATTTTGTATCGATATTGGGAGGCAAATTGGGAAAGAAACTAGAGAGGTATTGGGCACGGGCGTAAACAGAGAAACGGAATATTCGGACAATCCATGGACGAATAGGGCGGTGGAAGTTTGTTTTGACATACCGGTACGCCAAAGAGAGCGATCAAAGGAATGGATAGGATGTTTACAATCAAAAACTCTGGAATCCCTGCTTCTGCAACCAGAATAGATGTGTTTTAATAAATCACTTCCTATCATACGTGTACGAGTCTCCCAATACTTCGTAGACCGGCCACTCAGAATATGGTGATCTTTCCTCAGGAGATCTTGATAGAGAGTCGGGCCACATCAAATCTCGTACTCCGTAGATGCTGACAACCAATCTTCAGGGTACACTCTGCAGACGGCTGATTAATCTGATCACGTGATAGTCAGGCCTCGAACAGTCACATGATGGCGGGGTTTGGGCTCACCTGGGCACCTGGTTCGTCAGATGTGGCTCAGTAACTTGGCAAGGCTTACAACAATTGCATTGTTATAATTCTTCTGCATTCGTCATCTTTTCGATCTTGGACTCCTGTTTGCTACTCTCCTCTTTTGCAAAACATACAAAGTCATAGTGGTGATCAACATCAAAAACACAAAATGGCTTTCCTGAGTCCCAACTCCGGGTCATTTTTGCTCATAGCATGCATTTTGCTTATCGTTTTGCCGTCCCCCGCAGCAGCTTTTGGTGCCGGTAACATTCCTAGTATATCCAATGTCGAGGGCAAAAACTTTCGTCATGGCGATATCGAGGATATGCTCAAGACTGTTGCTTTCATTAAGGGTCATAAATGGACGAGTATGATGATCAAAAGGGTTTACTTCGGAAACTGGTTGCGGGATTACTCTCAAGCAGTTGATGTGGGAAGCTTGAAAGGAGTATCAGCGCCTACAATTCGAATTTTGGTAAGGAAATGGCCACTGGATTACTATAGGCATGCTTGCTAATTATCAACAGGTTTGGGTTCTGAGTTTCTTATCTTTTGGTTACGCTACTGCAGAATTCGAGGTCACAGAAGAACGTCTTGGCGTTTATAGACCCGAAGAGCATATCGACAATCCTAAAGGCTATGCTGATAATGAAGATGCAAGAACCTTTGACCCCAGACTTCGTGGCCCCATCAATCCCATAGAGCTCGAAATCGACCCAAATTCGGGTATGAAAAATTACATTGCCAACGAAAGTGGAGGCTGGGCAACTAGTGCTGGTTACGTCAAATTCAGCTTCGCACGGAGTATCCACTTTGGTAGACTGTATACTAGCGGCTCACATGGTAAAGGCAAGGAAGAAGATCTTTGTGAAGCCCTTCGATGTCTTGGACAAGCCTTGCACTGCATGGAAGACTTTGGAGCCCATACAAATTATTGCGAATTGGCTCTGAGAGAATTAGGATATCGTGATGTCTTTCCTCATTGTGGCACTAATGCGGAGGTTAATATTCGTGGTCATCATGTTTATCCTCTAGTCACAGGTACATTCGGAGCGGTCGATTTCTTGCATTCAGTTCTTGGTGAAGCAACTGATCATTTCACTCAAACTGAAGTCGAAGAAATGGATCTTGCTTTAGGTGGAGCGCAAAAGGCGCAGCAGAGTGGTGGCGGCGGTGACGGTCAGCGTGGGATATTTGGGTCTGGAAGCAGCGGTACGGACTTTGCAGGTCTTCTCGCTCAGATTCCTGGTATGGGAAGCGGATTAGCAAGTACCGCACGAGATCTTCAAGCTCAATCTGCCGCTCAAGAATATCAAAACTCAAATCAGCAAACTCGAGCTTCTGGAAACACATTCAACGCTCCTCCTGGCTCTACAGGTGGCCCACCAGGTCCAGGTGTTCCTGGAATGAGCCCCGATTTTGACGCGGTTGCAACTGCGAAGAAGATTTATCCTATCCTCGAGTTCAGAGATAAGATTGTCAGAGCCATTAACAACACAATTGCCAAGATTCCTGGCCTTGAATCATTGGTCGAGAGGATTAGTGAGACATTGACCGTGTTTATTCTATCTTTACTCGCACCATTTGTTCGACCTATCATCGATGCAGTGTCTGATAGTTTGAAGAAGGGTTCCAGTACAGTTGTTGAAGCCAGTGCAAACTCTCAATTTGAGCCATGGAATGATCCACATTGCACTGACCCAACTCACTCTATGCTTTCCAAGGATCATTTTTCTAACATGTTGAATTCATGCGCTGGAAGAGTGGCTTCCACTATTTTACAATATGTTACACCGTAAGCTTTCTTCCTACAGTGGCAACACAATCGCTAACCTCCTTCAGTCGCATACTTTATGCTTGGCAAAATCCGGGCGTCCCTGTTGATGAGGTCATGAACGATATCTTACGCACCTTCCATCATCCAGCTCTCCGCGACGAACATGTCGAAATCCACAAAAACATGTTCAATACCGTAAAAGATTGGATCAACGAACAACCAAATGCCCAGGCTTTAAACCATTTACTCAATTCAGAATCTGTAAAAGCCGGTCGAAACCACACCGGCTCAGATCAACATGATCATAATCATGGCTCTCTCGGTGGCCACGGTAAAACTTCAGGGTCTATCTGGTCAGAAATCAAAACTAGAGATTTAGGAGCAATGGAGGGTATGGATACTAAACCATCATACATAAACCCCTCCCCAATTCCAGGTTCTCCAGGAAGACAACATGGCACTCCAAATTACGGGTACGGAAACACGGGCCCCTCACAGCCACCTCAGGGTGGAAATGCTTACCTTGAGCCAAGTTATCAACAACAAGGTGGTTATGCATCTCAGCAACCTCCATACCAACAATACGGGGGCTATGAGCAGCAGCAACCATACAGCCAACAGTACGGCGGTCCTCCACAAAACAACTACGGACAAGGACCTCCTCCAGGAGAGTACTGGAATCAAGGACCACCTCCCCCCGATCCATGGGGTCAAGGACCTCCTCAGAACCAGTATCCTCCTCAGCAGGGATACTCAGGCCAACAATATCCACCTCAACAACCCCCTTATGGCGGCCAAGGTGGATATCAATATCCACCCAGTGGCGGTGGATACGGAGGCTACTAATGATACTCGATGACTTTTTCGGTTTTATATGGTTAGGGTTGGATGGCTTGCTTCACTTTTCAACTCAATCTGCGCTGGTAGGTGGCAAAACACGCGCAGGGAAAATGGCGATGGGATTTTTGGGGAAAAGAGATCAATCCATATCATTAATGTCTTATTCTATGGTTGAAATAGTTGGCCATGAATAGTAAAGTGCATGAATGGTTCGTGAAGGATTTATTCAATGCACAAGAGATTTAGTTTTACATGCAAATACATACGTTGATTGAATGAGATTTTCCGCTTGCTTAAATTCTTGAACTTCACATTTTGAATGTTAAATTAAGACTATATTCCACGATTACAAGTAGTCCCACACAGTGACATAGATCTCAAAGATTAAATCACGTATACAAAATTAAGGTATAGCGGCGAGAGTGTACTTCATAAACTTCAAGTTTCTGTCGCCCACCAGTTGCATTGTCTGTAAATCTGATGAGTATCTTCTTGTAATTATCTATTTGAGATTCACACCGACGATATAAAAGAACGATGGAGAAGCTGGAATGGTATTTGTCTTGATTAAAGCTGGGGTTGGTTGATTGACGGGTGCTTAGATATCTGGATTCTGAGAAGTGATGGAGGATAGAAAGTAGATGATAGAAGGTTAGCTGAGGTGTAAAAATATGTTGTGAAGAAGTTGATGGAAATTCGTCGGTGGGTGGTGGTTGGTCGTTCCCAGGAGCTCTACGTCTAGCCCATTCTTCGATTTGTGATAATCTCTCACTTCTTAGTCTAGTATGTTTTTCATATTTTTGAATTTGTGAGGATTCTGGTCGTGATGGGGATGGGGATCAGGAGGGAGGATTTATGCATGGAAAGATGATTATTGGATAGGAAGACTCTAGTGGGAATGGTGAGGATTGGGTGTTGATGTTGGATTTTTTGAGAGGGTTATAGCTGAGGGAGATGTTGGGTTGGAAAGTGGGTGGTGTGGGAATACTGTGTAGATTTGTCGAAGTTGGAAGATGTGAACTTGATATTGAATATAAGGTGGGTTGATGGGTCGATTAGGGTTGGGAATTTGACTTGGTGGTGATATCATGATGAAGATGTGATATTACGTGGCCTGATAGAGCCAATTCCTCGACATCAGATATCATATCGTATGGTTGTGGTATTATATAGTCTGGATCTCTTGTTTGAATTTGATTTCTTCATATGGAATGGATCGTATAATCTAGAATGTTGAAATTGAGACGATTCAGACATGCGATGCCACTTTTGTATGACGGTTGACACCGGAGAATACTGTTGACCGACATGTCTGACAGTTGTTTCTAGTATGTATTCACGACTCAGCGGTAAGGGTCTGGAGCTGTGGTGGGCATGTTTTTGATTTTCTAAAATTGAGTTCAGCCCTATGGGAATTAACTTGTCATGAATCACAATGCTAATCCCGCTGCAATCAAGTGACTGGGTCAAACAGCCGTGGAGTGGAACTTTTGAGCTTTTGAGCAGCTTTTCCATGTACAAGAGACAATACATAGCAATAACTTCCAAAGAGGTATCACGAATGTCGATCACCCAAAGAAACCCAGACCTCATTGATACTAAATGACGCCTATCCAAATCATCAAATGTACCCTTTTCGGCACGAAGAAGATAGATAGTATAACGATACTGACGACATCGCATACCCAATACCAAACGCATGTGTAAGGAAACCCATCAGTGATTAAGCGAATCATGACATGTACTAGCGAGACGGCTCCGAAACTTGCTTGAACTAGATACTTTAGTTTGATAGTAAAGTATATTATTGGTAATAGATCTCGGGGCTTGATTTAGATATGTTATTTACATAATATGAAAGTTGGATCTGGTGTAGGGTTATCAAGACGAGCCAATTGAATGATGAGAAATAGATGGAATTAGTGAGGAGATTGGTATTTGGGGCGATTTATAGTGATCGGTGTATGGATATGATTGCTTGAAATTATCTACTCCTTATTAAGTTAGAGTTTTCCTCCGATGCAGTTGGGTATTCTGGGGTACATTTTTTAAAAAGTATCCTGTGGTTTTTTTTAAGGATATCTCTCAAACGTAAATTCATACTTGTAAGTTATTTCAGACTCTGAGGCCAGTTCATATATTCGAGACAGATTGTACTTTAAGATCGACTTGAATTCTCAAGACGGTTCATGCTCTCAAGTGGATTTATTTCCTCAAGTAAACTCACAGACTCAGGTTGCTTTGATCACTCAAGTCAGTTCATATACTCAAGACAGCTCGCACCTTGAGACTGACTTGTGATCTTAGAACAAGATAGACAATCACGTCAATTCATTCTTTCAAACCATTTCGAGTTCTGAGAACACTCTATACATTCAAATTATTTCATATACTCAGGTTAGTTGATACACTGATATAGTTTCGTGGTTTTAAGCTAACTCAAACTCTTGAGACAATCTATACTCCTCATTAGTGAAAAAATGGCACGACCAAAACGTGAACGTCTTACCCTTATGCCCGAGGAGTGTAAGGTCCAAATGCGAGAACAAAAGCGGCGGAGCGTATGGGAGGCAGCGGAAGAATTAGAGAGACAAGCCAAGAAAACAAAAGTATTGGCGGATGATGGAACAAATATAGACAGAAATGAGGATGAGGAGGAAAATGAGGAGGAAGAGGAGGAGGAGGAGGAGGAGGAGGAGGAGGAGGAGGATAGTGACGAAGACGAGGCGTGTGCGGGAATACCGAGAGAAGACGACGACGAGGAAGAAGGTGTAAGGGTAGGAAAATTCGAAGAGGCTCTATTCAGAAAGGCCTACCCAGACGGATATCCTTACTACGGACTGTCTTTTGCTTTTCAATGGACCAATGAGCGCAGACACCTAAACCCGGGCACTGTTCGCGAATATGACCGTCGCGCATACGCGAGGGTCTCCCCCAACAACACAGCCCCGCGGCAAAGGCGAGGGATCAACGAAAGTGCCTTCCACTGAAGACCCTGAAGATGTACCGGTCCTTGGATCATGGTGCTGTGGCAAAGTAGATTGCACGATTCACGAGCATTCATCCCACAAATACCAAGAATCTAACAAGTTCTGGCTAATCCAAGGGAGAATTATACAGATGTTGCACCTCTCTAGACTTCCGGCAGACGATTGAAGTTTATGACGGCTTTGGTCTGCATGCTTTTCAATCTTCCCGCCGTCAGCTCGTCGTCAGCCCTCCTGATTGTGTAGACAATCGAGAGTGTCTCTACCACATCGCTTATTAGATACCGTTGAATCACTCGATCCATGTCACACAATCGAAAGATCCGTCACTGGATTATACCAAACGGAGTGCCTACTTAATTAGGTCGTCATTACAATCGAAAGGATCTTGTCTTATCGCCTACTAAATACCATCGAATCACTCGATTCATTCGTCACTGGATTATACCAAACGAACCACGAACAATTCGCCTTCTCCACATTTCGCATATACAATCAAGGAGATCTTATCCTTGTCGTCCACCAGACACTGTCGAATTACTCGATAAATTCGTCGCTAGATGATACCAAACGAATCTGCAATACCTCATCATCCTCCAAACAATCCAAGCGAACCCTTCTACCACTCACAAGATATATCATCTCTCCTCTCCGCCAAAATCTCGTCAATCTCATCACTGGACCGTACCAAACGAGACACCTCTCACCACCCAAATAAACGGAGTCGATATCCACCTCTGCTCTCCCTTCCTCGCCCCCGAGCTTGACTACTTCAAGCCGTAAGGCAAGGGTATAATTGAGGGGATGGGAGATGATACTAGATCATCTCATCTCATGATCTGGACTACAAACTGTAAGGAGCTTTTTATTGCTTGGAACAGATTCAATGTCCAGGGCACCATCATCCAATCCAGTATAATGAATGTCGAGTATTCTGATAAAGTTCTGGAACCGCATATCTTTCAATGCCAGACTCGACTTTCAAAAGGCAATGAACCCCCGAGCTAACACCCACGGATCTTCTTCAAGCTCATGATTAAACTTAATAGATGATGGATAATACCACCAAGTGAGAACGAACAAGATCAAGGAAGCAGCCAAGCACCTATTATATATCCAGATCGGACGTCATACTTACCTCCCGCTCCCGTGTATGCACAACATACCTATCCGTTTCTCATCTCCGATACATAGCTTAGCCTCCTGGTATACATCTGAGCTTTTGTGCATCTATACACCGCACATGCCACAACAAGGCGGCGGTCAAGCACATACCATACTATACTATAGTACAGATGTCGTGATGACCTCCCGCCCTCACCTCCTTATATGCAAGACATACTCAACTATCCTCATTCCTCGCCACCCGCCTCTAGCTTCGGTCCTTATATAACATGCTAGAACCTAGCTACATGTACATCCAAGCTCAGCACATTCCCTATATCCACAGCACAAGCCAGGACAAGGAGGCGGCTAAGAAAACGGCCAAGCAGCAAGCATGCAAGCACATACTGTACCCCTATAGTACGACAGTCACAACAGCCTCCGGGCCCATCACCTCCTTACATGTAAGACATACCCGACTATGCTTTGCCATCTACACCCTCAAGCTCCCCCATAGCATGCTAGATCCTAGCCAAGTAAGTATCCAAGCTTGAGCTCAGCAAAACCGCACATGTACACATACCACCTTCCAAGCTCAAGCTCTGTCACCCACCCAGTCATCCATTAAATAAACATATAAATAAACAAATGATTAAATAAATAAACAATAGCAAGCGCCGTTCCTCATCTAGATCCCGCAGTGGATTCGCCTACCCCAACCCAGATCCGAAGCAACACCAAAATCCAAATTCAAACATAGACACAAACACCGTTATATCTATATCCCTCTATCTCGTGTTATCAATATCCTCCTCGCTCAGCCCCATTCTGCACTAGCGCCGGATTCCCCGCGGCCGTATAATCGACCTATCCTATCAGAGACCGGCATAAAAAGCTTGGACATTAATGCACGAGAGATGAATGCCTAGAACTTATTCTATGCGGGCCGAGGATGTTAAAAATATACTTGAGTATTGTATCGATGGGATCAGATGGGATGGGAGAGAGAGGGGTGAAAAACATCGATCAGAGATGGAGAGATTGATTATGTCTGTTACTATTTGTAAATATTATTTATGGGATTGCTATATAATTATTCATAACGATAAAACTACAAACAATAATTATATACCGGTACGACACTAACAAACCCATACCAAACCGCTAAGATGTCTTCCCGGTGACCACAGCACACCACAACACCACACAATACATCTCTCATCTCATCTCATCACACCCAAGAGAAAAAAGAGAAGAAAAAAAAAACATCGTGAGATTTCCCCTCTCCAAAAGGTGGGCGATACAACATTGCTCGAAAATACACGCTAATGATTTGCCCCATCCGCATCCCACGCTCTCGCTTCGCTTCACTAATAGAATTATTAGAAGCGATAGCTCCAGCTGATTACCATACCAAATAAAATTGATAAAAGTAAAAAAAAAATTAAATTTTATTGGATTGGGGGGGATTGGTCTAGGGATGTGGCAACAATGTGGGTGGGATCCTGTGCATGTCTTTCTATCGGTGAAGCACGCAGGTGAAGAAAGATAAAGGGATGGGATGAGATGGAGGGATTGCGAATCCCCATGCATGCTCCGTAGGTATGTCTCTCTATCTAGCTTTCTGCAGAGCTTTGTTCACTTTGTGCTTTTGCGAATGCTAAGGCCGGAAGGGTAGGACTAACTGTAAAGTAGGTTGTGTGGTTTATGCTTTACGAGGGAGCGGTATGTAACCTTATGAATGGAATACTCATGGATTAATGTCAAAACTATGTATGTGTATACATCGTATGATAGATTGGAGAAACTGAGTGGACAGTACAAAGTTCCGTATGGATATCTAAGTTTCGGCTTGCTACCAAAGATGCCGGAGAAACTGGCTGCCAAGCAGACAAGCAAAAGTCCATCTTTAGAAATTCTCAATTGTTGCGCGATAGATGCGAAAGGAGAATACCCATATAAATGCTCACGCGGGCACATGTTAGCAGCAGATAATGTTTTGAAGATGTGGGGAAAGCTTCATTTTTTTGTGCAGAAAGGTCTAGAAAGGAGGCGGTTTATTTTTTTCTTCCTTTATTTTTATATCGAGTGGTCTGCATACGTTGCAGAGAATGCAGTGCACAGTCTCGAATCTTCGAAGGGTGTTCGATTTTTGAATGCGTGTCTTGCATTGCATGTTGCATATTGCTACCACACGCGCTGATTGTACGTGGTATGTAACTAAAATGGTACATACTGTCCCTCTGAAAAAGTATTTCGATCGTCTGTTGGTATGTGAGTTGGAGTGGGCGTGTCTTAAAAGTAAGATTTTGGGTAGGAAAATAAGGTGGTAGTCAGGTACCAAGATGAATGAGAAGTACAAGAAGCCCTGTAAAGTCTGTGAGGTCCAGGGTGCAGAAGTCTGTGCAGCTGTGAAAAAGACAAACATGAAGCTAGAAATTGACATCGTGACCTTTTTCGCGACGGCTAAGAAGTTTTGGTTGGGGTCGCCGGTGATGAGACTGGAAAGGGGTTCATAAACCGATCAATATTGTTCTAGAAGGGTGGTCCTGTGGGGTGAAAGTAAGCAGATGGATACTCAAATGCTTATCCGCGGACTCAGTCCCATGCTTTTTGGCTGGAATTACCTATTAAGGTGTGAACAGATGAGCGTGCAGTGCCATGCACGACTGCACGGTCTTTGGTTCCAATACTTGTATCGTATCGGTACTCCGGCATTCAATTTTGGATTTGATTGATGTGTTTCTGTTTCTGTTGGCGTTTCTCCAGGAATAGAACTAAAAGGTTAAAAAAGTCTAATTGTGGAAAAGGACGTTAAGTCACATTGGGAAATCCCGTCGGATGTCCTAATTCAACGTTTTACCCCCAAACTACTTTGGAGCCTGGAGAGGGGGCTGGACTGGTCAGTGTCCGGGTAGGAAATTGAAAACTAGACAGGCGGGGCGGAATGAGTCTCGGAGTAGAGATGGTTTGTAATGTTTGGACATTGATATATGGGCGAGGCTGTGATCGAATACCTTTGTTGTCTCGGCTCTAGCCTCTGGCGGGTTTCAACAATATTGACAGTCAGATAGATCGTCTTTGATTCTTTTCTGTTTTCTGTTATCTGTTTTTGCAACTATTGTAGTTTGAAATTCCATCTTGGGACCTCGGAATTGGGTCACCAGAGTAGACGCGAGGAACTGGACTGTGCTGAGTGGACAATACTTTTTGTGCACGAGAGCAATTTTTGGGGGGAGGGGGGAGAGATTGGAGTAATGGGGTGGAAAAAAGGGGTAGGCCCTTGAGTCGTGAATCGTGAAATTTTAGATATTGAAAAATAAAAGTCCCGTAGAAAAAGAGAGATTGATCACAGTCAATTTTGTGGGGGGGAAGAGGGGATACCATCGTGTGAATAGAAAATGGGCTTTTGGTCAACAGAATTAAGAATGCCGAGATAAATGTGTTGTCAGTGAGTACGTACCCAAGCGAGTGTCGTGATTTTCTTGCGAGTAGATCTTTTTCATCATTATGAATTCATTGATGACATAAAATGAGATTTATCTTAATTCAAGTTAATTGTATGATGATATGTGATGATATATGATGATGATATCTGAGCTCAATGAAATAAGAAACTAAGGTCAAACCAACTCATGACTTTGGAAAACAATGGGGGCATGATGTTATGTATACATACGATCGAGATATGTGATTTCGTATTTCTCGATGATTGAAAGATGGTCATTTGGAATTTCATCATAACCCCCAAAACGTGATATCATTTCCAAGGCAGAAAAGTAAGACTTGGTTGAGCCGTTTCTAACAATGTTTCGATTCGTTTATGTTGACGTTACCAATTCTGTAAGGACAGAAGATTTGCAGATTTGCAGTCGAATCCCCCACCATGGCACCTCAAGTAAACACAGCCACATGTAAGATTGTGGATCGTGATTAGATATTCGTCTGGGAGAAAAAGACCTGTCAAGGCGATACCGGTAAAGCATCAGCATCAATCAGCATGAGCCTTGGCATTGGCATTGAGCATTAGCATCGACATCCGCAAATCGATGAGATCTCAACGAGCTAAGACAACTTCCTCGTAACAATAAGTGGAGGAGTTGTATGGATGTTGGAGCCCAAAGAATGCAAACCGAAACATGGATTATGAGAAGAAATTCCATGTGCATTGTGCACGATGTAACTACTCTACTGTAGGTACTAACTCTAGCACACCTACTTTGTGAACTGGACACCACCACCACACTATACTCCGTAAATGCAAATGCAAACATGGATTCCACGGAAGTACGCATGTAGAAAGAGTGCAGTACTACGGACTGAGCACAGATCTCTTTCCTATTCAAAGGACGGACTTGAAGGGTGACTCTAGTCTCCCAATAAACTTTGTACCTAGGTCTTTTCAACGCATTCTACTCGAGGAAAGTGCATGGATATTTCTATAGGGTGACGAACCACTGGGCGGCATAATTCCAATCATTCAACTTCATAGGACGGAAATAATTCTTCCGTTTTCATAGAACACGCCTCGAACTTTGGATAAAAAGGCCAGCCAGTTCAATGAATCAGTCAGCGAGCCAGCCAGCTCTTGATGCACACAACCATTTTACCGTTTCACATTGATGTCTGGAAGAAATCCAACACAGAGAAGAGAAAGTGGGTTGAGGAACAATAGAGAGCGAAATGGAAAATAACGATTTAACGGAAAGATAGTACCGGTTATTGGCAGCACCAAAGTAAGAACTTAATGAGCCTCTAGAGTCTAGATACCCAATTAGCACTTGGATGGTTGACTTCATAACTTAGTCATTTTATAGTTATGACTATTTGATGACTAGTACCTATCTAGTATCTATTTGGTAGTAACTAGATCTTTTTTCTACCTTTATAAGCCAAGTGATGTCCTAGTAGCTTTATTTTTCATATGCCCGTAGTGTCTGATTCCCACACATTTTCCCCTTCATAATTCCCCACTGTTACCGGAACTCCCTCCATGAATTTTGGTTGATCATCTGTCCCGTCACATGTCGCTCTGGGAAATGGATCGTGTTCTGCGTATTCTGCGGTGTTCTGTGCAGAGGGTTTAACATGGTTCTTGTGGATTGTCTAACATGCAGTCTAGCTCTTTTTCATTCTAGTCGATGGAAAATGATACCGGATTGGGATTAAAAAGCTAAAAAAGATTCGATACTTTTCTTAATAGATTCAACTTAATTTTGGCGTTTCTCCATTCCAACCAATCTACCAATCTACCATGGTTTGCCAACCTATGCCAATGCTAACGCTTTGCCTAGGGAATGCTAATGACTACTCTCTCCCACCCACTTGGCTGCGCGGGATCGATATTTCCCATCTTCATCCGTGCATTTAAATTCGAACCAAAATATCAAAAAAAGAGATAACCCAGGTCCCAAGTGACCTAGAAAGAGGGGCCCCCGCTTCATCTGGGACAACAAGGAAGAACGGAACTTCCGACGAAGCGCCATCGACAATCGAAATTTTATACTAAGGATCTTTTACTGGAGTAAAAGAGGACGAATTTAATTACATGGAACTGGAATATCGAGTTTCCACCTTTAGTTACTTGGTACGAGACTGCGAGTAACGGTGAGATATTCCTAAAACGGGTTGGTTCAACTTGGTTGATCTTCTTTCCGCAACACCCCTTCTACCTTTCCTCCACCTAGTTCCTCCACATACGGTCTACCTCCATCAAATCCTTAACATGTCATACTTAGCGAGTTCTCCCCTCGCGCTTACTCCGTACTCTTCCTTCCCGCAGGACCGTAACAAAGCCTCCTTCATTCCCCACCTCCACCACTCCCCCAAAGTTTTATAACTCCAACATATCCCCCCCTCGATTTCATCCTCCTCATACAAACCAACAAACACTTCTTTTTAAGAATCATTTCTTCGCGCCTCACTTCCA